CATTCCTGCCCTTTCTGAGATGCTGTAGAAAAGTCTGTTGGAAATGAATGATGCCTTTTTGTTCCTGTACGTGTGTATTGGTAACTAACCTGGAAATTCAACTGTCTTCATAGAAAAGCTGCCCTAACTTTCCAAGGAGGTTGTCTTATCGCTACTGACTAATCTCTTCAAAGTCTCTAGTGATCAATTCATTTAAAGTCTATGCAATTTAGTAGCCATCCTGCCCTTTCAGACAGATTCCCATAAATAAAATATAATCAGTGCAGTGTTAGAAGGTCCACGAGGTTTCGTGGACAGAGCTTGGCTTTAATATATCTAGCTTGTGGTTTGGTTCCAGTGTGTGTGTGTTGGCGTATTGACAAAGTGCAAAACTTCAAGAACGTTTACTTGATTTCAGCAGGCTTGTCCAAACCAAATTGATCTATCTTTGCTGCTGTTGCAGCCCTGGCTCTGATCTAAGTTCTCCTCTCTCCTTGCCAATTGTGCATTGCAATATGCGTTTGAAATTCTTGCCTCGCAGGACTCCTACCATGTTTGCCACCCAAAGCAGTAAAAGCCGTTTGATGCCCCATCCCCAGCTAGCTAATTCAGCTTCCCCAGAGCATTAGCCTTCCCTCAAGTTTCTCAATAGTAGAGTTTTTACTAAAAACCATAAAGCATGGTTTGGGTTTTTTTGTTTGTTTCTCTCTTCTTGAAGAATCCTTTATTTTCCAGCACTACGCAGGCCCTAGCAATAGGGTGCAAATTCCTGGTGCCTGACAGGGGCTCCCGAGGGCTCCCAGTACCTCTCCCAACCAGGATACTGGTGCTGTACCTGGGGTGAAGCAGAGGCTGGGTGACCTGAGCGCAAAATACCATCCTGCTGCTAGGGACCAAACAGCAAACTGGTTTTCTCTGTGGTGATGGCCATCCAGGTTTTCAGAAGCACTGGGCAATTTTAGTGGCAGCTGTTGGTGTTCAGCATTGGGAAAGTCAAGGCCTAAGCGTTAGTATTTTGCTATATTTTGTATATGCTTGTTGCAGTTTGTAGAAAAGCAGATCACTAAGATTAAGCCAATGATATCTTTTTAAATTTTAGGATAATTACAATTATTTGGGTCAAAGTTTTTAAACTGACTGTTTCAGAAGAACCTTTATGGATTAAATGCATATTTAATTCTTGGTCTAGAAGTACTTAAATGGGTGGCTGAGAATAAAGGACGACGGAGTTGTAGTCGGGAGGGGGAGAATGGCACACTTTCATTTTCTCCAGCACCATGTTGCCATACGTGTATCTTCGCTTGGAGTCACTGAGCTGGTCACAACTGAAACTGCAGAAGCTTCTTGGCTTGGTTATCCCAGAAAGCACCGACTCCTTGCTCCTGCTGGCACCTTTCACGCTGTAACAGAGCAGCGTCATGGTTAGCATATTTAACATGTATGGTGTTTGTTTTAATGGCTTGAGCAAAGCCACATCACAAGCAGCAGCTTTGTGGTCTCAGATGGTGGGAACGGCATTGATGCAGATGGGATCGCTCAATGGCAGAGTGGAACGGAGGAGTGGAAGAACTCTCCTGTGTCCCCTCGAGTCCCCTTCTGAACAGAAGTGCTGTGACTGAATGTCATTATTAAGGTGCTTGTGTTCATCCTAAGTATTAGAGACTTGGTGCTTACAGGGGAGTACTTGATTGCTCAGTCTAAGCTGTAATTGCTCATTTGTGGCAGGTGCTAGGGAGTGAAACCATTGCAGGATGAAGTAGTGTGGAGTGTCTGGCATTGCTGCTACTGCGGGGGTGAGCATCCCCAGAGGGTCCCTGCACTTCAATGTTCTTCCTGAGGGAACTGGCTGAGTTTTGAGCAGGAGTGAAATAATGAAAAGTCTCAAGCCTCGGGGCAAAAGCAGAAAGCTACTAGGTGTTCCCAAAGGCTAATGCTGGGATGAATTTTTAAGATAAATGGCTGATATTTGTGAGAAAGGGCACAAGGTCTGGGTATCTCCTCTTTTAGGCTTCTCTCAGCAGCAGACGTGAACTGCTGGTTTGAATTAGAATTTTCCTGTCCCATAAATGACTAGTTATCCTATAGGCTGCCTTTTATAAGATGCCCTTTACAAGAGAGGTTTAGCATCTTCTCAGCTGAGCCACTCTTAAAGACACTGTTTGCCTTGCAGCGCTTTCTCACCCGTATTCAGAGAGCGCAGTGCTTAAAAGGGCTCTTTCAATAATGAGGAAAGTTAAGGCAAAGAGAATTTTCACACCATTGAACTTAGATACCGAAGATTTATCTGCAGACAAAGGACAAGCCAGAGCATTTTCCATCACTGATTACATGTGAAATCCTAATGTAAACATATGTTGGACTGTAATGCCTAAAATTAGATTCCCTCCCCTGTATTTTTATAAGTTCATGGACACTCCACCCCTCTCCATTTATAAGGTCAGGAGTGTTGGCAGCCCTAGTCTTGAATTCCAGAGAAGAAAGAACATCTGTTGAGGCTTTTGGAGCCCAGGGTTTTGCTTTTCATTTTAATTTGCACTGTTAGATCTTTAAAGTACTGAACTGGTAGCACAGGACCTTTCTTGATTAGGAAATGGAGAAGTAACCATTTCTCTTACATGCTACAGCTTCTTGAATCTTTAACTCACAAGCCTGTGTGCTTTTTAAGGAGTGTGGTCTCTGTCTTCTGTCCTACTGTCAGAAATTGGGGGGGTCCTCCCAAAAGACCACCCCATTATGTTTGTTTGGAGATGGTTGGAGTTAACGAGGAGGAGCCCTCATGATGAGGATTGCAGATGCATCCCATAGTTTTATATTGCTTCTGTTGGCAGATGGACAAGTAATTGCCTTGGGATAAATTCCATAACTGTGTGACAAGGTTAGTCACAGACTCAATAGACTTTGTGATGGGTTTAAAGAGAAATGCTTCTGTGATTTACGTTGTAATTGTGAGTCTTAGGGAGCAGTGGGCTGGCAAAAGTGGAGCGTGCATGTGAAGTTATGCGCCTTAAAATCATCATGCTTTGATCCTTTTGTTCATCATCAGGCTTTTGCATTCTGAGAATTTTCTTGTGAGCTAGACTTGGCTTCTGCTTTAATTAATAAAGCTTTATACCAGTAGAGCTGCATCGATTAGTTTTGCCTTGGGTGCACTGCCATACCTGGGTGTACGCTTGCACAGAGCTTTGAGGCAGCCCCTGGGGTTTAGACATCCTCAGGCTTCATTTTCGGACTGAGCTTACAGTCAGTAAAAGTTCCTCTAGTTGTGGACTGCCTCCTGTCTGCTCTGGGAATGTAAATTAGAAACTCTGTCTATTTGGTTTTTAATTGGGATCATTTGTTGGAGGAAACAGCTACTGCTTTCCTGACAGATTTAAGAGTGGAGCGAGGTTAGAGGCTGACTGCAGCTCTGGAGATCATAGAACCACAGAACAGTAGGGGTTGGAAGGGACCTCAGGAGATCATCTAGTCCAACCCCCCTGCTAGAACAGGATCACCCAGAGCAGGTTGCACAGGATCGTGTCCAGGTGGGGTTTGAATATCTGCAGAGAAGGAGACTCCACAACCTCTCTGGGCAGCCTGTCCCAGTGCTTGGTCACCCTCAGAGTGAAGAAGTTTGTCCTCATATTGAGATGGAACTCCCTGTGTTCCAGTTTGTGCCCATTGCCCCTCGTCCTGTCACTGGGCACCACTGAAAAGAGTCTGGCCCCATCCTCTTCACATCTGCCCTTATGAGCATTGATGAGATCCCCTCTCAGTCTTCTCCAGGCTAAACAGACCCAGCTCTCTCAGCCTTTGCTCACACGAGAGATGCTCCAGTCCCCTCATCACCCTCGTAGCCCTCCGCTGGACTCTCTCCAGTAGTTCCCTGTCTTTCTTGAACTGAGGAGCCCAGAACTGGACACAGTACTCCAGATGTGGCCTCACCAGGGCAGAGTAGAGGAGGAGGATAACCTCCCTCGACCTGCTGGCCATGCTCTTCCTAATGCACCCCAGGATACCTTTGGCCTTCTTGGGCATGAGGGCACACTGCTGGCTCATGGAGAGCTTGTTGTCCACCAGGACTCCCAGGTCCTTCTCAGCAGTGCTGCTTCCCAGCAGGTCAACCCCTAACCTGTACTGGTGTCTGGGGTTATTCCTCCCTAGGTGCAGGACCCTACACTTGCCCTTGTTGAATTTCATTTGGTTCCTTTCCACCCAATTCTCCAGCCTGTCCAGCCATCTCGCTGAATGGCAGCGCAGCCTTCTGGTGTATCAGCTGCTCCTCCCAGTTTAGTATCATCAGCAAACTTGCTGAGGGTACCCTCTGTCCCCTCGTCCAGGTCATTGATGAATATGTTGAATAAGATCAGACCCAGTACTGACCCCTGGGCCACACCACTAGCTGCAGGCCTCCAACTAGACTCTGTTCCACTTGTTACAGCTCACAAGTGGTGAAGTTCACAGCCATTTTTCTGGATTAGCAATTTGCTTTGACTCAGAGGTTTGCTCCAGCCTGAGGATTTTGGCTTGTTTGGGTTGGGCTTTTTCACCAATACTGAAAAGCTAGAAAAGAGTTTTGCAGTTGGGATCCTTTCCACTTGCAAAGGAGCAGAGTTCAGAAGATTGCTTTTTCTCTGCCCCCATGCCTTTCTATTGGGATCTTGTTACCTGAGGCCCTGCTTTAGGAAAGACCTATCTCTGTCTACGCTGTTCACAGTACCACTTGTTTTCATCCAATAGGAAGTCCATGACATGTACCAACCATTTCTGTGGTGCTCCTGACCGCCACCTGGGCTTGAGGGGCTCCCCAGGGTTTGGGGTGATCCTTGTTTCCTAGAGTGAAACCAAGGGTGAGCTTTGCATGTTGGTGCCTTTCCCTCCTCAGCACTGGAAGCCTGAGGGGAGGGGACTTGCCTGGGTCAGTGGGGTACCCCTGCACTGCCAGGTAGGCTGGCTCCCTGCCCTGCTTTTGGGTTGGTCACGCTGAGTAAGCACCAGTGCATGCATTGGCTCTCTCCTGGAGTCAACTGATGAGTCTCTTCTGAAACAAACCCTGGGTGCACTTCTGGGGATGCACTGAGTTTGTCTCTTTGTACCCAACGCAGTCCTCCAGCACTGTCATGACAGGCCTGGCCCCGCCAAGTCTGAATCCTCTAAACGTCACATTCCAGGGAATGCACACACCCTTGTGCTGGTCTGAAAGCATCACCCCACCTGGCTGGCTCACATGCAATTTCAGATGCTTCGAACTGTGAAAAGAACCCCACAACAGGCCCAATCATTCTGCCCTGGGCAGCACGGAAATGAGGCGAGCAGGGAGCAGCAAGGGCATGGCCCCAAGCACCTTCGGCCTTGGCTCAGCACCCACCCGCTGGTACAAGATCATTTCTCCGCATCTGTGTCCTAAACCACAGTGTTTGAGGGTTACAGCGTGATGGTAAGTGCCCTGGGAGCGGTGAGGTGTTGCCGTGAAGGTGACCTAACTGTAAGCTGCTGCTAAGATGGGGGTGGCTCCTTCCTCAGCCTGGTGCTGGCTCCAGCTACCCTGACGGTGAGCTGCTACTGCTCGCTCAGAACCTGTTCTGGGGCTGTTCTGATAATTCAGTGACCTGAACCAGCTCTCTGCAAGGCAAGCCAAGCAGAAATGTCAGCACAAGAAAGGGGATAGGACCAAAGAGCAGGATGCTGGAGATGCAAGGGAAGAAGCAGGACTCTGCATCTGGTTAGATCAGCTTACATGTATCAAACCTCTCCAGCACTCGTCTTGTCCAGTGTTCAGTACTACTTTCAGGGGTATTTATTTACTGCTCCAATTTAGCCTAAGTAAAGGATGCTTAGTTAAGAAGCTACCACTTTTAGGAATGCGTGCAGACTAAATGGTCACTGTGTACATTCACATACATGAGCACTTTTTGGCACAGTGCTACAGTACCACTTGTTTAGCTTACAGACCAGATGACCTTGTGTGTTCTCAGCCAACTGCTCTGTTTCCCTGAGGATTTACATTCTAGCAGCCACTGTTGATTTCAATTTTTTTCCCATCTAAGCATTCCTTTTCCTTCTGCAGCTGAAAATGCTCCTTAAAGCAGTTCCAGAGGGATGCTTGGGGCATGCTCCATGTATTCCGTGCCACGCAAAGAAAAAAGGCATTTCATACATTTCATTTGCAGCGGTTGCCATGTTGTCTCTGAGACTGACAACGGCCTTCAGAAACGTCACATTTAGACAAAGAAAAAATGGGTTAAACCAGTTCTAGGAAACACTGCATCCTTTGGAGCCCTATTCCTACTCCAAGTTCTGTAATAGCAGGACTATGCTGGCTCCTCAAAAAAGAGTATGGAAAACCATCTCAAGTACCATAAAATTGTTCACAAGCCTCTTTTCTGAAATGTCAGTGGTCAAGGCAGAAGAAAGGGTTTTCTAGCACTTGTTTGGGGTGGCTTGTATCACCCCGGCTTTATCCTGCATGAGCAGAGCTCCATTGTAGACTCCTGCCAGCAGCACGTTTACCCCGCCCACCGTATATTTTGGCCGTGTGAGCATGCATGCTCTCGTGCATGTATTTCTGTGTGTTTAACCAACGCCCTCTTAGTCACTGGAGTTTTTCTTGAAGCAAGCCCTCTCTGCCTTGACTGCACGTTTCAGCCAGCTCCAATTGTTCATCGAGACAATACTACACCTCCCAGCCTGCCCAGTTGTAAGTCGCTGACAAGTTCGGCACAGGCAGAACGGCAGGATGGCCTTGACCTCCTGCCAGCGTAAGATGAATGATGGGTAGGGTCTGGGCAGTCCCTGGGCTGGTGAAGAGCAGTGAGCAGAAACCACTGCAGACACTGCCAGCTTTGCAGTGGCTGGGAACTGAGACACCCCCGGCATTGAAAAAATAAACATTTCCCATTTACAGGGAGTTCATGTCAGTGCAATGCAATTCTTAGAGCAGCCCTAGTTCCCTGCTCGGGCAGCTGTCAGGAATTAGGTGGAGGAAGGTGGCCAATATATTAAAGTGCTTAAAGGCAGGAAGAGAAGTGAGGCCCTCACATCCATCTATTGTAAAGTTGCCACTTTAGCATCCTGAGCCCATGGGTCTTAAATGGGCCGTGCTTAGCTGAGTCATGGAAAAGAAGGGCAAAAACAAGCACGGGGAGCCTTGTCCCAGCTGGGGTGCCCTTGGGGACTTGCAGAAACAACTGCAAATCCTTCATAGCCACACGTTCCTCCTCCCCCTTGCCAAGGGCTTGTTTCCTACAGTTACCTTCCTCTACCGTGGTTTAGTGCTCTCTGGCACTCACTTGTCCAGCCTGGCATAAAGTTGAGGATGAGGCTGATCAATAGGGCGCTAATAAATCATATTGGTGATGTGCATTGAAGGGCTTGAGGGTTATTTGTATTCTCAGAGGTGTATGGAGGGTTAGGTGTGGGAGACTGACCGCTGACTCAACCGAGCAGGACACACCTGAGCAAGAGAGTTTGCAGGGACTGGGGACACTTCAGCTACTTTCATTAGGCATGATTTAGCACAAGGACCTTGAACCCTCCTTTGCCCTCTAAAACGAGAAGAAGGAGGTAACATAATATACAGACCCAAAAAGCATCCGTTTCTGCTTGCTGCCTGTCCATGTGAAGCGTTTCAGTTCTTCTGGAACCAGCACCATCCCACTGTCTGCTTGATAATCCTTGAAGAAACAGAAAGATGCAATCCTATTAGGTGTTAACTGTAGAAAGTTATTTTTGCAACAGACTCAATTCCTCTTTGGTCTGATTTTCAGCATCCATTTGTTCATTTATACTCAGGGAGCTCTAGGAGACAGTGGCTCCGTGCTGCTGGAGGTGCTGCAGTGCCCAGATATTTAACGGTGCCTTTCCAAACAGCCCTTGCTTTGGGGTGCAGCAAACACATGCTGTTAACACAGATACAGAGCGCTAAAAGAAAGGTGTCTACACACGATGTGAGGTTCTGGCCAGCCTCTAGTTCAACCCTGAGGGCACTATCGTGCCTTTCCCACATCCCAACACTTAATGTGTACAACTGGGTCACTAAAAGCTTCCCCCACCCTCTCACCCATGCCCACTCCCACCAGGACAGTATGTGTGCCCTGTTAGTAGACTTTTCCCCAGCCTGTCCACCTGATAACAGGACTGGTTCCTAGCAGGGACCTCTGATGGAAATGTGACCCACAATTCTTATTTGTGCACTACTATTCAGATGAAAACATAAATCCAAGGGATTTTAAGTGGCTCTCCCGCACCAGTGGGACTCAGGTGGGACTCTGGCAGCTGTACCTTGCAGGCTTACTGGCACCAGCCATTTCTTATCAGGGAAGGAGTCAGCAAGGAATGGAATAGTCAGCAAGGATCTGCTGACCCCAATTTGTAGGACAGTGGGATAACACCATGCTGCAAGCACAGCTAATCTTGCACCTCGCATCAGTAGAGCTGACAAAGCAGTAAAACCCCATCTTGATTCTCTCTGTATAAATCTGTCACACAAATAAAAGGAAATAAATGGCGTACCGTTTGGCCCAAGAGTCACTTACGTTAAATACAAGCGTTTCCTTGATGGGAAGCTCTTCAAATGTCTTTATGCGCTGGTGTGGTTTTATTTTGAAAGTGTTTATGTATCTGTTCAACAAAATAAGCAGGACAAGTTTTGGTGAGGGTGTGAAGTGCGTAAGCAGGAAGCGCTGGGTATTTCTCTGTTTCTTTAAGCAGTTGCCAAACTGTCATTGAGGTAGTTTACACAACAGGGACTTGTTAACCAGACCCCATCCAAACCTCACTCCCCAGCCCTGGGGTGCACACAGCTGCCCCTCTCAGAGAGCCCGAGCCCAGTGACCTGATGGTCCCCCTGGGCAGGGACACCCCAACGGGCCAGCCCAGCCCAACGGGATCCCAGCGGTGGTGGCTCGGCAGCTGGTGGGACACCCAGGCCACGTGGGGTGTCTCTGGGTGTTTTCTCCCAGGTCCAGGTCCAAACCAGGCTGTGCAGCAAGCTGCAATACCCAGGAAACAAACTCAGCGCTTATCTCACCTGACGTTTTCAGTGCTTTCACAATTTGAGCTTGTAACAGAAAAATTTTCATTGCACAAAGGTTCAGATGCAGGAGGAAACCCACTTTCCTTCGTAAATATAGTATTGAGGGGTATGTAGTCTTTGCCTTCCTAAACACAAATGAGAAATCAAAGTGTTATTCCTGGGATCATGCAGCTGGTCCCCCCTGCCTCGGTGACAGCACGTGGTCGTGACGTTAGTACCTGCTGGACGTTTGCTTGCAGCAGGTCGCCCAGCTTTTTCACCAGCTCAGAGAACCTTGGTCTGTCGTTGGGATTGCTTCGCCAGCAGTCCAGCATGATTTGGTAGCTGCGAGGACAGAAGCAAAACAAGCACATGGTGGGGTTACAGCTCAGTTTGATCCAAGGCAGTGCAGTCTCTGACAGCTTGTCATCAGTAGTGTTAACTCCCGAGCCTGCCTGATTTTATGAAAATGCTCTCCATCACCATTGAGGCCTCTTACTAAAAGTAAAAAAGTAAACTTTCTACAAAAAAAAGAAAAAAACCAAAAACCTTCTTCCCGCAAGACACTGGGAAGACCACATCAGAAGAATAATTTAGCCAACTAGTCATACTTTCTTTTCTTATTCCTAATTAAGCACTAAACCTTTGTATTAAATGTCTGTCAACTGGCAATGTTTAAGTTAAGGCATCCTAAGATGACTTATATGAATGTGTCACTTCCTCGTATTGGTCAAGTCAAGCTTTCCTTCCTGCAATAAAATATGTGGAAGAGGGAAAAAAAAAAAAAGTTCTTATCTACTGTCACTAGGAAAATAAAATTAGCCAATGGGTAATACTCCCAGATAGGCATGGCTGGCTCGCATCCTTTTTCTTCTTCCAGAACTATTTTTTGGTAAGTGTTGCTATTTAGAGTCATGACGTAGCACTCAAAAAAGCACCGAAGACATCTACACGTACTTATTTTGCCTCCAGAGGTAAAATACCCTGGATATGTTCATGCTCCTGAATGATTTGTGCCACGGGGTGCTTGTTGGGTGTGCTGCAGGTGCCTCCCCAGGCAGGGCGCTCCATCCTGCTCCCGGGGTGGAGGAGCTGCAAACTCAGGGTCTCCCTTGGACCTCCCCAGGCCTCCAAAAAAGGTGTTGGCCTTGCAGCAGCAGCTGGAGGCTGCACCTGAAGGCAGGGGACCAGGGAGGGACAGGCAATGTGGTGGAAGGGCTCAGACAAACACTGCAGACGACACAGGCTGGGAGGCTACGGGTCCCCGTAACCTTCCTGTGCCATCAGACACCGTCTCCAGGAAAGGGTGGACCCTCATCACCCGAGTGTTTGCGAGGAAGCCTCCGCTGTCGCTTCCTAAGTCAAGACGATGTTAATAATGTCACATTCCTCCAGCACTTATCTGTGTGCACGTCGGTAAATATTAAACCTGCAGAGGAATGAATGACCTTCCTCCTCCAGGCTGCTCACTCAGCTCCCCTCGGAGCCCAGCCCCGGTGGTGCCCTGGGCTCAGGTCCATGTCCCTCCTCGCCCTCTCCTACCCCATGGGAGGGTCAGGGGGCCAAGGGTTGGGGGGGATGCAAGAAGATGCTGATGACAGCAAGAAGATATGAGGCAACATTGCAGTTTTTTTCCTTTTGTTGGCATGGGATACTTTTTGCAGAGACTTGTACATCATCTGCAGGGCAACCCAGTAGGGCAGCAATACACAAAGCAAGTAGAGAAAGGCATCTTACATCTCCTCGGTTGCTTGCTCCGGGGCTCGCATTCTTGTGCCTTCTTTTAGTCTGCTGCAGAAATCTTCATCTATTTGGACTCCTGGGTAAGGAGAGGCACCTGGGGATGACATTGGGAGAACAGGGTCACACCCCCTGAGCTGGGTACCTGTGACCTAGCCTTGGCCCTACGCATCCCCCCCAAACGCTTGGGGTGCAAGCATCTGCTTGCAGAGCTGGGAGCCTGGGGGTGTCCCCCCCAGCGAGGTCTGGCCCCACCAGCTCCCACAGCCAGGGAACTGCTGCTGACGGTGCTCCAAGCCCTGGTCCTTGGTGAGGGGCAGGATCAAACCCGGTACTATTGGTGGTGCTTACCTGGCCTGAATGCAAAAAATAAATATGAATTTGACTTGAAAAGAATCCCTCAAGAACAGACGAGTCTGATCCCTCTATGGTTTGGACCACGACAAATTCTAGTAAGCAGAGTATTAACAAACCCTAAATGCTCAAAACCACCTTGAAAATAATAAAATCATGGGTTTCAATCAGATCACAGTACATTTGCATTATTTCTCTGGTTTCTGTGGTTTTAAGATGCAGCCTGATCGCACTGTTGATCTTTTTTCTGTAGATAAGAAAACATCAGGAAAAGGGAAAATGAAATTAAAAACACAAAAAACCTCTCTGCGACTCAGACAGTCATCAGGTTCAAGGAGCTGGGGCTTTAAGAAAAAAATAGCGGGTATTATGAGGCTGACCATAAAATCACAAGAGTTGGCAGGCTGACCAACAACATGTATTTAAACTAATAAATGATTGATTGTCCTGAGAATTGTATAGTATTGTTTCCTCTGCTGTTCGCCTCTTTTGTCAGCCTCTATGTTGAACCCAATTAAGATTCTTCTATTCTGACGGTCATTGTTGTTCCCGCTCAGTGTACATCTTGCATCCTGTCTTTTCCACGTGAAAGAAAGGGGAAAAAAAAGAACTTCACTGGGTTTTAATTTCAGATTGCATGCTCTAGTTCATCTTGCGGCATCTGTGCGGATGCTTGGTCGCCTGCTGCGTCCAGCGGCCCGGGTGAAGGGGGTGCTGGGTCCCTCCCGGGCTGGGGCGACCGCCTGGTCTCAGGCTGGAAATGGGGGTGACACAGCCTGAGACATGCAAAGACCTCTGTGTGTGCAGCTCCCTTGCTCCCACAAGAGAAGTAAGGAGCTATTGAGGGACACCCTGCCCATGGCATTTGGTGTCTTGAATACTGTCTGTGGCACAGGAGGCGATGCCTCAGTCCCTGGCAGCTGCCAACCCAGGCCCCCAGCTCCATGATATCCCACAGGCTTTCATATTTAATAAAAACACCTAAAATTTTGCCCGATTTTCCTGCTTTGCACCATCAGTCAGACAAAGCACCATGACTGCTCCAGCTGTGCTGCCCTGCATCTCTATGGAGGGTTTCTACAGGGAAAAGAAGGAAGCTTAGGTTTTGCCCATGGCAGAAATAGGTGGTAAAGTTCTCAGATAGCTGTGCTATCAATTACAGCTTTCAGCCTGGCAACTCAGCTTTCAGTGCCCTTACAAACACCAAAATTTCCAGTTCACAGGGGTGTGATACACACAGTTCTCACCTCTACCCCACACCCCACCTCTGCCTGATTTAGGGCTTTCCTTATTAAAGACCTGGCAAAAGCCTGTTGAAGATATAATGCACGTTTTTCCCCAGGCTGAAGTCACTGCCGCCGAGTCCAGCTCCCGGGGTGTAGAGTTAACGTACCCAAAGAAAATATCTCCCACAGCAAAACCCCATAGGACCACACGTCACTTTTTGTATTGTAGATTTTATCGAATATGGATTCTGGAGCCATCCACTTGAGAGGAAGTCGAGCCTGTAGTAAAAGGGACAAACCTGACTATTATTTTCAAAGCCTAAAAGAATTTAATCATAGATGAATCAACTATATATTGTTATGTAAATAATTACCATTCAAACAGGAACCTGTGGGATTTCCTTACAGGCAGTCAAGATAAACCCACACTCATTCAGACACTTTCTTAACAAATTGTCAGCGTAAAAGGCTCTTTTGAAAATATGTGAGGCACAAAACACCAGAGACTGGAAACCTGTGACCAGAGTGACCAGGCCTTTTCTTTATGGGGATGTGGCAATAAGCAAGAACAGAGGTCTCTTGCCAGCATACTAGAGACAGGGAAGAAAACCCAATGTGCAAGCGCAAATCATTCTGTGATGGTGTCAGAGATGTTCTCGGGGAAATTTTCAGAGCCTGAATTGCAGGAGTGTGAAGCTCCCTAATTTCAGCCTGTTAGTGTCTCCTGAGCAGTCCCCTAGTTAGGCACTTCAGAGCAAATATGTAGTGCTGCAAGTCTTGAAAGCTATTTTTGGATGACGGAATAGCTGGCAGGTGGGTGAGACCTCCAGAAGGAGACTCTCTGTATGACCCCAATGCCCACACCAAATTCCCACGGCATCAGCGGGCGCAGGCACGGTTTGCTGACCCGGTGTTCAGGGCAGGCCTGCCAGGGGCTTTACTGCCTGCTGTTTACAGGAGAAACAAAATAAAAAGAGTAGGTGTTGGAGGCGGTGAGCCCAGCTTGGCTGCTCGAGGCACCACGAGCAGTGCTCGGCTCTGGCGTGGGTGCACCGGGGAACACGCACCTTGTTTCGATGGGACTGGCTTCCTTGAAGGAAGTAAGTGGGTCACACTGCAGAGCCAGCCAAGAAAACAATGCCTAAAAACCCCCTAAAGTATTAACAGGGCAGAGCTGTGAAACAGTTAGCATGTCCAAGCTTTATGCTTGAGGATACAAATGCTTTCCAGATCTACAACGCATCTGGAGAGCTCATCTTCACATAAAAAACAGTGATAGCTTTCAAGCTCTTTTAAGTTCAGGAAATGTGAACGTCTACAGAACATTTTGGTGGACAGTTTGAAATGTTATGTTGTAAACATTTGGGTAAATAAATGGCATCTTGACTTACATCTCCTTTTCTCACATAATCAGGATTCTTATAAATATCTCTTGCGAGGCCAAAATCACAGATCTTCACGACATTGTTCTCAGATAAAAGGATGTTTCTGGCTGCCAGGTCACGATGAATGCACTATAATAAAACAGTTTCATAATCAAACTGCATTTCCTGAATCCTGCCCACAAATTTCCTGACTGTCTCCCATATCCTTTTAAAAATTATTATTATGATTTGAGAGATCAATTTAATATTTTTTTAGGGAAGTTGACTGTAGTTTACATGAAGTTACTGCAAGCAGTGGCAGTTCTTTAATAAATAAATAAATTCCCAACTCCATGAAGTGATAAATTTTTAAGCCTCTTGACATTTGCAGGGAAAGCGCTGATTCATTTGGAGATCCCTACCTAATATAAGTTGAAATGAAAAAAAAAACAAAACACCAAACCAGAAAAACCCACCACACCCAAAATATCTTCCCTGAATGAATGAGGTTGACCCTTTGCCTTCAGCCATGATCCTGTGTTTATGGACTATGGAGACTTTGATAAACACGGCGCTATATTTATAACGCCAAGAGGAAAACGGCTCTTCCTTTGGGAGCTGTCCCAGGGAAGGTGTCACTAAAACATAGATGTGATTTCACATGATGAATCCCATCCTTGTGCAGGGAAAAACCCCCATTGCCAAACTCACCTTTCTGGAGGAGAGGAACTCCATGCCTCTGGCCACCTGAAAGCTGTAAGAGATCAGATCCTCCATAGTGAGGGGCAACTTGTAGAGCTCAGCAGCATCTGCAAAGGTGGAAAACATGGTTTATTACAAAGATCACACAGAAGTCAGTTATTTTCTCCCTTCTTATTGACCCTATTACTCCCATAAATTCAGTCTTCGTAGAGTAGTATTTGAAGGTCAACCCACTGTCACTGGAAACAAAAATAATGCTTGCTTTATACCCCGCACTTTGGACACTGCTGTGTTTTCCCCAAAGATAAGAAGCAGTCAGAAGAAACAATCACACATTTTCCTGTCAGATTTAGTAACCCTGGAAATAATCTTTTTTTAAATCTTCTACCGTCTGGACATGACCCTTTGAGTGTCTCCCACGGATGTTTATTAGGGTGATAAATGAGGAAAAAAATTTCAGGGATGCACAGTATGTTGTAAAAATATCA